CGCCGACCTGGCGGGCGGGGTGTGATGGATGGAGGTTGGAAGGTGGCCTTATCCCCGTCCAACTCCGGCCCGAGGCTCGTTTTCCTCCCAAATTTCGCCCCGTGTCGAGGTTAATTCCTCCTTCCTCTGCCGCCCGCCTCGGCCGTGTCGCCCGCGGGCGGCCAGCCCATATCGGAGCAGGGACAACGTCACTCACCGGCGTCGTGGTCCCAGCCGGTGGGCGGCGCGGCGCAGCGGGACTCGCGTCCGAACACGTCGGCGTTGCGGTCCGGCACCAGCTCGGTGTACTGGTTCACCTCGAGCAGCGGCACCGCCGACAGGTCGCAGTTGTACGGCCACGAGTTGTACCTGTCGGAGAAAAAAACAGACATTGGATGAGATGGCGGCTCTGAAAAAGATCACTGATCTCTGTCTCCGTCACTATCACTCTCTCTCCCTTCCTACCGGAACGCGAAGGCGCTGCAGCGCGTGCGGCCCGAGGCGCACTCCCTCTCGCAGTGCGGCAGCGACGTGGTGGCGAGCGTGGCCTGCACCAGGCGGTCCGCCATCCGGAAGCCGCCGTGCGCGCGGACGAAACATCCTGCAGGAGCAGGGGAAGAGAGCGAAGACACTTTAAAGCCATTGATTGATGGTGTGTCAATTGCAATTATTCGAGATAGTCCGAACGTTTGTTTTATTATTTTATTATTGCACAGCTGAATGAGGGGACAAGGGGGTGCCTACCGTCGCCAACAGGTGGGTGTCCGATGGGGGGTGGGGCAGCCCCGGGCGGCGGCAGGGCCGGAGGCGGCAGGGCCGGGGGCGGCAGTGCCGGGGGCGGCGGGGGCGTGATGTAGCTCGGCGGGTATCCGTTGCCGTAGCCGGCGCCACCGTAACCACCGCCACCGTAGCCGCCGCCGTAGCCGCCGCCGTAGCCGCCGCCGTAGCCACCTCCATACGTGGCGCCGTAGCCACCCTGCTGGCCGCCGAGCAGCCCGTAGCCGTCGTACATGTACTTGCCGGGCTTGGTGACGCCGTGCTGGTGGTGCTGGTCAACCTCGTTACTCATGTAGCTCCCGTAGTCATACCTGCCCAGAGACAGCGAGGGAGAGAGTTAGAAAGAAAGAGAGACAAACAGACAGACAGACAGACAGAGAGGCAGAAGAGACAGAGAGAGTCTCGCTGGCGGCGAGGCGGGGCGCTGCGATGCAGTCCCGTGCGGCGCGCCCGCTAACCGGGTGGCCTACCCGCCCGTCCACAGGCGTCTACAGGCGAGTCCAGCTCTCTCCGATCATGGGAACAGACAGTTTGACTGTCTTCGCACTACTCCGCGGGAGAATCTACTTTATTGTACCAGCTCTTTCAAAGAGCTCGATTGAATTCTTGCGCACAAAGTGAGTGCATGACATGACAAACTGATCTGTTTGAAGCTACCATTGTAGGGCACAGATAATCGCTCACAAGGTTTGCGTCAGTGAGTGGTGTTGCTCCGGGATGTTTCCATCGCCGGTTTCACTGTAAGAACACGTCTACATACATTCACACACACGAGTCCTGCGATGCTCTCTTACCTGTGCGTCGACACCGGCGAGCCGGCGGCCGAGACACCGTAGAAGCCCACCTCGGTCTGGTGTCCCGAGGAGGCGGTTGAGGGCGCGTAGCCGGAGGCGTACCCGGGGGCGTACCCGGTGGCGTACCCAGGGGCGTACGCAGGGGCGTACCCGCCGCCGCCCACGGCGTTGCCGCCAGCCCAGCCCGCCGCCGCCCCCGTCGAGGCCCAGGCCGAGCCCTGCTGCGCACCTCCCGTGGGGCCTCCACCGCCCCAGCCGTGGCCCCACATGGGTCCCGGGCCGTACAGGTCGTCGCCGGGGCAGTGCGGCGGCTGGGCGTTCCTGTCCCGGGCGTAGTAGTCGTAGTCGCGGTCCGCCCGCGAGTCACGCGCCGGTTCCAGGAGCGACAGCGGCACGGCCGTCAGCTCGCAGCTGCCCACCCCCGGGCTGCAACAGAACAGATCGAGGACTTCAGACCAGCTCATTCACTCCTGACTATAAAACACCGTCACAGGTTAACACGTAAGGGGTAAGCAAAGAAAAAAGTTTGCTGTTTTATTTTTAAAATTTGCTATTTATCAAACTTTGTTTTCCAGCTGAAAACAAAACAACGATGCTCATAATTTTTGTTTTGCCTGAACAAGCATTCAGCACAACCAGAGAACGTTTTTGGTTCTGTTGTTAGTAAAAGATTTTTTTTGTGGTTCGCACAACAATGTTGAGTCACGTCACGAGAGAAGGGCGCGCCCTTCTCGCATGGTTAAGTGTTGCCTCCTCAGCCTTGAAGTATCCATATCACGCTTGTTGTCATGTTATCATTTTTTTATGGGTGCTCTGCAGCATCCTCCGGCCAACAAAATATAATAACATTGAATGTGATGACGGCCAGGCCACGCATGTGGGAGGATATGTAGACATGCGACACGGCCCAACGACCTACAACAATGCCCTGGAGGATGCCGACCAGCGTCAAGCCCCACCACTCCCCCCCTTCCCCCC